GTGGTGGGATCTCCATCCTTGGAGGTTTTTAAGACCCTGCTGAACAAAGCCTTAGATGGGATGGTGTCTGAAGGGACAGTCTTGCTGATTGGACAAATGCCCACCTGAGGTCCCTTCCAACCCACATTTTCTATGGGTCTGTGAAACATGGGGAGCAAAAATAAACCAGAAACCCCTGTGGAGTGAGGGCAGCACTTCCCCACTGCCCCAGCTGAGCTGCTCCTGCCCGACCTGGTGCCTCAGCATCTCCCGAGGGGCTGGGACCTGCTGCCCGCTCCGCAGCATGGCATCCAGCTCTGATCCTGCCTTGCCCGCGGAGGGGGGAGAGCTGGAAGGGTTGGGTGGCGAGGAGGTAGAAAGATCCATCAGAAACCCTCACCTTGGCTCTCTCTATACAGAACACAAGCACATATCTGGCCCTGCTTGGACCAACAAGCTGCCCTCTTAGATGGGGGGGGGGTAAGTGTGTGGCAGGCAATCAACTTCTAGTGCCTTGATGGGGGGGTAGGGAGGATAAATGTTTGGCTGGCAATGACCACCTAATGCACTGATCTGGGGGAAAGAGGGTAAGTCTGTGTCAGGCAGTGCCCACCTAGTGCCTTGATTTGGGGGGCACAGATAAGTGTGGCAGGCAGTGTCCCCCTACTGCCTTGATCTGGGGGGCTGAGATAAGTGTGTGGCAAGCAGTGCCCCCCTAGTGCCTTGATCTGGGGGGGGCACAGATAAGTGTGGAAGGCAATGCCCCCTCTACTGCCCTGATCTGGAGGGAAGAGGGTGTGTGGCAGGTGATACCCCCTTACTGCCTCGATCTGGAGGGAAGAGGGCGCGTGACAAGCAATGCCCCCCTCGTACCTGGATCTGGAGGGAAGAGGACGAGCGGCAGGCGATGCCCCGCTATGGCCTTGATGGGGGGGGGGGGGCACAGACGAGTGTGTGGCAGGCAATAGCCCCCCTACTGCCTTGGTCTGGAGGGCAGAGGGTGTGCGGCAGGCGATGCCCCGCTACTGCCTCGATGAGGGGGGCAGAGAGGAGCGTGCGGCAGGCCACGACGCGCGGGCGCCCCGCCTGTGCCCGAGCCGGAGAAGGAAGCGGTGCCTACCTTGGTGGCGGCGGGCAGCAGCAGCAGCCCGTGCCGGCCCGCCCGGGCGCAGCAGGACAGGCGCGGGTAGTGGCCCCGGCAGGGCAGCAGCTCCGCGCCGCTC